TGTGTGACTGTGTATGGCGCTGTGTGACTGTGTATAACGCTGTGTGACTGTGTATGGCGCTGTGTGACTGTGTATAACGCTGTGTGACTGTGTATGGCGCTGTGTGACTGTGTGTGACTGTGTATGGCGCTGTGTGACTGTGTATGGCGCTGTGTGACTGTGTATGGCGCTGTGTGACTGTGTATGGCGCTGTGTGACTGTGTATGGCGCTGTGTGACTGTGTATGGCGCTGTGTGACTGTGTATGGCGCTGTGTGACTGTGTATGGCGCTGTGTGACTGTGTATAACGCTGTGTGACTGTGTATAACGCTGTGTGACTGTGTATGGCGCTGTGTGACTGTGTATGGCGCTGTGTGACTGTGTATGGCGCTGTGTGACTGTGTATGGCGCTGTGTGACTGTGTATAACGCTGTGTGACTGTGTATGGCGCTGTGTGACTGTGTATAACGCTGTGTGACTGTGTATAGCGCTGTGTGACTGTGTATAGCGCTGTGTGACTGTGTATAGCGCTGTGTGACTGTGTGTGGCGCTGTGTGACTGTGTATAACGCTGTGTGACTGTGTATAACGCTGTGTGACTGTGTGTGGCGCTGTGTGACTGTGTGTGGCGCTGTGTGACTGTGTATGACGCTGTGTGACTGTGTATGACGCTGTGTGACTGTGTATAACGCTGTGTGACTGTGTGTGACTGTGTATGGCGCTGTGTGTGACTGTGTATGGCGCTGTGGCTGTGGCGCTGTGTGTGGCTGTGTATGGCGCTGTGTATGGCGCTGTGTGACTGTATGGCGCTGTGTGACTGTGTATGTGGCGCTTGTGTACTGTGTATGGGCTGTGTATCTGTATGGCGCTGTGTGACTGTGTATGGCGCTGTGTGACTGCGTATAACGCTGTGTGACTGCGTATGACGCTGTGTGACTGTGTATGGCGCTGTGTGACTGTGTGTGGCGCTGTGTGACTGTGTATAACGCTGTGTGACTGTGTATAACGCTGTGTGACTGTGTATGGCGCTGTGTGACTGTGTATGGCGCTGTGTGACTGTGTATGGCGCTGTGTGACTGTGTATGGCGCTGTGTGACTGTGTATGGCGCTGTGTGACTGTGTATGGCGCTGTGTGACTGTGTATGGCGCTGTGTGACTGTGTATGGCGCTGTGTGACTGTATGGCGCTGTGTATAACGCTGTGTATAACGCTGTGTATAACGCTGTGTATAACGCTGTGTATAACGCTGTGTATAACGCTGTGTATGGCGCTGTGTGACTGTGTATGGCGCTGTGTGTGACTGACTGTGTATGGCGCTGTGTGACGCTGTGTGGCGCTGTGTGACGTTGTGTATGACGCTGTGTGACTGTATGACGCTGTGTGACTGTATGGCGCTGTGTATGGCGCTGTGTGACTGTGTATGGCGCTGTGTGACTGTGTGTCGCATCCAAAATAGCGAATCTTGCGGCCAGCATGTATATCAGATGTTACCGCTGTTTGAGAGTTTCAAAGGCTTCAATTGCCTCTGGAACGAATCACCTGGCATTCCGACTTGGTACCTCCGTTGAAGATGCTCCTAGCGCTTCCTGAGGACTCCAAGCACTGCAGCAGACACCACAACCACCGAACCGGAGAAGCATACGAATGCTCTCAAGCATAAGAATGCTGTAAGCAGCTGAACAGGAAAAGCATACAATCAGCTTACACTCCTGGCAATCAGCATACAATCCAATCCCCCCAATAACGAGACGACACTTCACTTTGAGGGTTAAGCAGGAACTGACTGGACTGGCACATACAGCCTCTTTTATTCACAATCCTCAAATATAGTACTGCCCACAGGGTTTTGAAACACAGCCAATCAATCCGTACAATACACACAGACACTCCCACACAAAATCCTCCTTTCTGCCTGTGATATGATTTCTGAACACAATGGGTAGTCTAATTATCACAGGCAGAGAAATACAGTATTATAAAACACATCACAGGGACCCCAAAACATGCAATAACCCCATAAAAAGTATATCCTCTGAACCAGGTTGTAACGGATTGCCTGGCACCCCGACTGGGTACCTCCGTTGAAGGATGCTCCTAGCGCTTCCTGAGGACTCCAAGCACTGCAGCAGACACCACAACCACCGAATTGTAGGAGCATATGAATGCTCTCAAGCATTTGAATGCTGTAGACAGTTGAATAGGAACCATACGAATAGGTTTACTCTCCTAGCAGTCAAACTGGAACAGCATACAATAAATCCTTCCCCCAATAATGAGACGACACTTCACTTTGAGGGTTAAAACAGGAACTCTCTGTACTGTCACATACAATCTCTTTTATTCCCAATCCACAAACATAGTACAGCCCACAGGGCGTTACAAAACAACCAATCAATCCGTACAATACACCCAGACACTCCCACACAAAATCCTCCCCTCTGGCTGTGATATGATTACTGAACACAATGGGTAATCTCATTATCACCAGCAGAGGAATACAGTTTTTACACAATATTTATAACTTCTAAAATATACATGTCACAAACATAAAACATACATTTTCATAATCAATCCATTCAGGGTAACAACATATTAAAAAATGGCACGAATCAGACCAGGGGTTCAAAAGTTAAGGGAAAGTCCTTTGTGACTAAATGAAGCATGGCTTTCCGGCCCAAACCAGTTTCAGAGTCTTCTAACCTGGAGATAAGTGAGAAGTAATTCAATTATCTCCCAGGACAGACACAAGACTCCATTATGCACATGGTGAGCACAAAGCATTAAAATATTATAAAATACAGTCACATTTTATACATAAAACACAGACATGTCACATATCCCCAGATAGCTGGGATCTGAGCGCACAAAACTACCGAATAGAGCTCAAATCCTATTCACACAGTTCAATTGCCATGGAGCCGAAGTCTTTAACTACACTAATGGGCTCCATGGCATAGCTATTTGGGTTAACACATTCACATAAAGTC